AATAAAAGAAAATTACTACTTAAAAAAAAAATAAACACCAAACCTCTTGTTGGAAAGTCTGATCTGTGACCCTCTATCTAAAACAGAAATGCTCTTTATTGTTATATCTCTGCTTTGAGGTTGTGAGGGTGGCACATGGTCTTGCCTGCAGTGACTTTCAGAATAGCAGTATCTCAGAGGACTCTGTGGAAAGTCAGACTTTGTGTCATCTTGCTTATGCTCCACTCCTGGACATGGACTTGGATGAACTTTGTGAAATGGGCTTACCTGGCTCAGGCATGGCTTTGTCTTGTCTCCTTGTTTCTACGCCACACTACTGACATATATGTCCACTGGCAGGTCAATGTCTTGCATGTGAGAGCAGGGTGCTTTAGAGAATATGAGTTCTCATGGTCATACAGCCTGTTCTGGTCTCCAACATGGGTCACACCGATAGTGAGCCACATTTTGAGGAATTTCTGACTTTTCCCAGGAGCTAAGCTCTGGTCTTTTTCACTGCCCTCCCTCCAGGTCACCACGGACCTCCGTCACCGCTGCACTGATGGGCACACAGGCACCTCGGTCTCAGCACCCATGGTGGCAGGCATCATCGCTTTGGCTTTAGAAGCAAAGTAAGTCTTACTTCTTTCCACTTCTTTTCATGCTTAGAGACCATGTTTAGAAGGCCACCGGGGGGGGGGGGTGAATGGCCAAAACCCCTGGCCTGCTCCGTATTCTAGGAGGGCTAGCACAGCTTTCCTTATGGACTTTAATTCCAAAATTGCCAGCAAAATGGTAATGTTTTATCTGCCATAAACCAAATGAAAACACTGGCCTTGTTTGGATGTGATTGGGTCAGAGAGAAAGAGGCATTTGTTGTACATCAATCAGGAGGTCAAAAGTAAATTCTTGTTTGAGCATCAAAGTTGTTTAGCCTTACCCTTGTCTGTAACATTAGTTATAAGGAATATTTCAAATGATTCAAAAAGAATCTGTGAAAATCTCAGACACTTGAATTATACCTTTTGCACATTGATTTACATGAGACAGAAGAGGATAAAGCTCAATGCTACTGCCTTTCTCAGTTACGAAGCAATATCTAACAGCTAAATATTATTGGTTTGCAGGGCAATACATACACTTCTGTGTCCTGAGGATTGAAAAAAAACAAAAACAACTTCTAAGTAATCAGTTATGTGTGCGGGAAGTTGCATTCACATTTTTAACCATTCACTATATTCACTATATTTTCTTCCCTTCATGATTGGAAACATGAAAGGAATTCTGTTACTTAAAACTAAGAAGAAAACACACCCTCCAGGCCAGATTAACCTTGGCCTTGTCAGCACAGGAAAACTGACAGTCTCTCCATGCTAGCTTTTCCTTGGGAGTTTATAGATACCAAATCAAGCAAACCTCATTTGGAACAGTCAGCTTTTAGCATATCAGACAGACTTAGAGGACTGGTCAAGGAAATAGCACATCCTTTCTTGGAAGCCCAAAGGCTCTTTGGAGATTGGAATTTCTAATCTGTCTCAGCATACCACTGGCTTCAAGGCTGTGTTTCAAATCTTTCCACCACTCTGTTTGAGGGAAACAGGGCAAAGCCAAGTTGTCATGGGTGGCAGTGCTTCCAGAGGTACCAGGAGGGTAGAGGCCGTGTGGCATGGGAATGGAGGGTAAGAATTATCCAGTCAGTTCCACATTTAGGGGCAACTTCTCATCAGTCCTGACTTCATAAAAAACCTATTTTGACACCATATTCTTTGACATGTTTTCCATACAAACATACTTGTTTTCATTACTAGAGAGGAAAAATAAAATGGGATTTCGTTAACAATGAAATGGTTCCTCATATCCACCCTTTCTGGATCCATTCTGTCCTGTCTGAACGCCAGGCTCTATGGCCCCAAGCACCAGACTTCCCAGAAAATTGGTTTCTGTCTTCACTCAGTGATCCCTTGACAGCAGGTCACTTTTCTAGATCACACTTTCACGGGTGGTGCGGCCAGCACATGTAACCCTGGACTGCTTGTGACCCCCATGCAAAGCCTTTACATCCTCAGAGCCCCAGCAGCCCCCAGATAAGCTTGGCTGGAGGCACACAGGGGTTGCAGTGGGTGAGGGGAGGACAGGAGTCACCATTTACCAACCAGAAGCCTGGGAGCGAGATGGATGAGAGGAGGTCTAGAAATGGTGAGGAAGTCAGATGTGTTGAGCAGACTCTGGCCTTTACACCTGCATTGCATTCCCACATTTTGATGAGTTCTCATTTGTGCTACTGAATCAATTCCTACAGGACACAGTAGATATCCCCACAGGGCTGCTAGGCTGTAATCTTTATGAAACTCCTCCAGAGTGCTTCTGAGTTTTAAACACCAGCCTTTGATGGTGCTCACCAGTCAGTGAGCACTTAATTGTTGCACCAGCAGGGTTACTGTTGGGGAAAACAGCCCAGATACTGAATAAACATTTACAGGGTTATTAAAAGTTCCATTCTTTGTATTTCTAGAATTCCTTGAACCAACAAAAGCAGAGCTTGGCAGCAAAGATTACTTTTTAATGCTGGTGGATTTGGGTCATCCGTTGTACTGTTTTATCTCAAGATCTAATTTCTGGAAACAATTCTGTACAAAGAGGTTGTGAAATAAGCTCCTGCTGTGGAATGCGGCTGGTGGCAGCCTGAGGGTTCACTTAGGTTCAGACTAGAGGGACTGGCTCCCTAAGCATCCTTTCCAAAGGGCCCCTGGCCCATCGCTGTCTGACTCACTCATCCTGTTATCACAGCAACCAACTAACCTGGAGGGATGTACAACACCTGCTGGTGAAGACATCCAGGCCAGCTCACCTGAAGGCCAACGACTGGAAGGTCAATGGTGCTGGTCACAAAGGTGCGTAGCACTGTGATTTGGAAACTAGTGCTCAACTTCTTCATCTGTACAGTGAGAATTTGAGGTAGTTGTGTAAGATACTTTCTAACTGTAAAACTTCTGTCCGCAAGTCTCAGTGTTAACAAAGGAACTCAGAGCACAGTGGTATCTGTTCATAATCCAGGTAGCACCTCCCTCACCAGTCCAACTTGCTGTAGGCCCCTGTGCCATGAAATTCATGGAGATCTGGTGGCCTAGTGGTAAGGATCTGTGCTGCCAGCACTAAGGCAGGTGGTTCAAATCTACTAGCTGTGCATGGGAGAAAGATGGACAATCTCCTCCCATGAGATTTATAGCCTTCAAAACTTGCTAGAAGGTCAGCTATGAGAACGAGTACTATAAATCCACCTCTTGTAGCCTACACTTGAGAGTCCTTTGAGCTTGTAACAAAGATGTGGCAGATAATGAAAGGTGTTATTCGTTGGCTTACCAGAGATACTGGAAAGACATTTACATTCAGCCATAGATTAGGGGTGAAAAGGTTCAGGGTTCTTTTTTTTTTCTCTCTTCCATTTTCTAAAGCCCAGGTCCAACTATATTGGCACCAAGCCTGCTAGTTGTATCTGTAAATTATAGGTTATGCATCGGTACACGAGGTCCCTCGGGACATTCCTCCTTATGAGGAGGCCATTGATCAGGCCTCACGTGGTTTTGTTGCAGGAATGTTGATGGTAGTGGTGTGCTGTAACGGGAGTTGACCTACATTTCCATTTTGGCCTAATTAAATAGAAAACTAGATTTTATCTAGTTCTTGACCTTGAGTTTCTCCTTGTAGCCAAGTTAAACACTGACTTGGCCAGCCGCATGCTCTCCATCTAAGCAGCATACATTTCTCCAGTGTCCAGGGGAGTCAGTGAGAAAAGAGCCAGCCAAAAAGACTGCCCCCACAGAGTCCCGTGGCCTAGAGGGTCAGGTTTTATCCTTTTCTCTGGTTTACAGTTGGAATTTACAGGTGGCATCAGCTCCCTGTCCTAGAAGAAAACTTGTGGCTCTCAGGGGCCATGGGTCAGTGATTGAAATCCCCCCTTTCATGTGGGAAACTTGCATTCAGTCAAGTAAATGTGTGCCATCCATGAGTAGAGGCTTGTGCTAAAGCTTCCAGGCTAAGGTGAATGAAGAAGATGGCCTAGTAATCCACGTACTTCCTAAAACTCTCTCAACTACAGTGGCCCAGTCACAGCCAGTCCAGGGGATAGGCCAGGCCTCGGCACCGTCCTTTTGTGCAAAGGGTTGCCCCCAGTCAAGAGTTGAGATAGCAGTAGCCAGCAGCTCTTCTCCTCTATTAAGTGAGAAGGAAACACACTTCCTGGCTCTCAGTCCTAAGGGAAAACAGTTATTGCAGAAGTGATACAACCTTAAATGAGCATTCTCATCTGGCATTTTTCTTGTTAGAGCTGTTTCAGTCTGAGGGGTTACACTGTTGGGATGGCCTCCTGCCTACAGCTTCTTAGACAGGTCCTCAGTGTGAGATCAAAGCCTTACCCACGTGATGAGATAATGGAGGGGAGACTGGTTCTGAAGCCCCTGTCTTTCCAGTTAGCCATCTGTATGGCTTTGGCTTGGTGGATGCAGAAGCTCTTGTGATAGAAGCAAAGAAGTGGAAAGCTGTCCCCTCTCAGCATGTGTGCGTCGCCTTGGTGGACAAGAGGTCCAGGTAAGACTTTGTTCCAGCACTTAGGGTCTTATACACACTTGTTTGGACCTAACCCTCCTGAAAGGTAGGGAGATGTTACACACAGCTTCCTGTACACATACAGAGGAGAGTGTGTGTGTGTGTGTGTGTGTGTGTGTGTGTGTGCCTATGTGTATACATGTGTCTGCATGTTCACAGTGAAAGGAATAATTCTCACTCCAGGGCTGCCTGGAGGCCTCTTGTCCATTTATTGTTTTGTTGCTGTTGCTGTTGCTGTTATATACCAGTGAATCAGAACCAACCCACATAGTGTCCAAAATAATGAGGCCAACTATTCAGTCTTGTCTCTTGGCCTCACACTTCATTCCTCACCCATTTCCTGACTATCCCCAGCCCACCAGGTGTCCAGGGCCTACTGATGTGCAGTGATATGGAGCTGCCGTCAGGATTGGCTGTGGCCCAGGGTGCCCATCAGGGTGAGCTTGATCAGTCCTGGGGCAGCTCCTCCTGCAAAGGCAGACACTGTACAGGGCTCCTGTCCACTACTTCCTGGACTGGGTACCCAAGCAGAGTGCAGGAGCCAGCCCTGCCCCTTCCACAGCACAGGGACAGAGATGCAGGTCTTAAAGTCTTGGTGGTTCCACTTCTTCCACCAACAGATGTGTCGGCTTTGGTTGGTGAAGGCAGAAGCTCTGTGGGCATTCCTGCCTGTGTGTGGGACACACACATTTAACACAATGTCTGCCAATTCAACATTCCCTCACTTCTTTTTTTTATGGAAATAAAATTTTTATTATGTACTGTCACACAACTATCAAGAACATTCGTTCATATGGTCACTATGAGTCGCCTACGACTTGATGACACTTAACAACAGCAACAACTGGTTTACTTAGAAAGCTCACAGACATTGTTTTTCACATTGGATCTTTCCCATTTCCTTTATCTACCTCTCCCTCCAGCCATCAAAAAATTGTGGGACCCTGTGATTAACCACAACATACAGCTTTCTTAAACTTTGAGCGTCTGGGACTTATTTTAATAGACTTTATTTTTTTATCAAAGAAAAATCATGTGATAACAGATTCTCATATGTCATTATTGCCCTCTGCACAGTTTCCTCTGTCACAGTGTCTGGTATGATGCATTCCTGTGGCGTTTATTTAAGCTGATAACCTGATAGAGATATAATTTGTTTATTAATTAAGTCCACAGTTAATATCAGTATCCACTCTGTGGTTTGACACAGGTGTAACAGCATATGTGCCCCTGACTGTCTCAGAACCATTGCACTGCTATAAGTACCTTTCACTGCCCTTCCTCAGAGGCCATTGAACAGGCCTTAGCACGGCTTCCTCTTTCTTCTGTCATTGGGTCACCCCAGGCTGGCCCTCGGTGGTATGTTTCTCTAAATGGGCTGCATTCATTCACTGCCATTTTCATTTCCTAAACTACTGTCAAGTGAACAGATGACTAGATTCATGGCCCATCAGGAGAGGATATACGTGGGCTCTACTGCCCTGGCTCTTCCTACGCAGCTGTGCAGTGTTAAGGAGAGTGGTGTTTCTGGGGGCTGTAACCTTTGATGAAAAAGAAAATAAATTTCTGGCTGTGACTTATGGAAAATATTTTATTTTAAAAGGCTGAGATGATTTAAAGTGATATTTCGCTTTATAAGAAGTCTGTTGTTGAGACCACCTCTTCCTTGAATAAGGCCACCTTTCATACCAGACTCTTTTATAATATAAAAATTTAGAAAAATGTTTTTAGAAGATGCCTTACATACAGTAGGAATTCAGAAATTGGCTAAATCGACAGTTTGAGAACCACAGAACTCACTCATGTAATGCCTTCAAGTCAGAACCTGACTTATAACTGACCCTCCGCTGGATTTTCAAGGCTGTGAATCATACAGGAGGATATTGCCCGTCTTCTTCCTTTGGAGCCACTGGGCATTTGAACCACCTACCAGGTGATTTGGCTGAGCAGTGCAACTCCCTATGGAACACTCACCCAGAGAAACACAGAAGGATCAGGTGATGTGTCACATTTCCATCTTCAGCTTATCATAAGCACTGACGACTGGGAAACCTCTCCAGTATGCAAGCAACCACCTGGCAGGCCCCAATCTTGATGTAAAGCAGCATTTTCTCTGTTAGATTTAAAGAGCAACTCCTCTGGCATCAAGAGACTGTTGACTGTCCTCTCCATTGCTAATTGGGAAATACCCTGACACTGGGTGGAAAAGCTGCTGCACGCTGGGCTGGAGCTGGCTCCCTCCAGGCATCCACTCTACCCTGGGCACACTGTCCTTTGCCGCTTGCCGCTTTCCCCTCACAGGCTCTGAATGAAGCTTTCTTCCCTTGCTAGAAATAGTTTTAAGATGGCAGAGTGGTGCCTCCATGGCGAAGGGTTGTTTTTACTTTTATTTTATTTTGTTTGTTAAGTGAAAGCACACAGAGTCTAGACAGCACAGTCAAGTGGCCAGTTGTTGCACACAGTGTGACATTGTTCTGTTTTTTTAGGAAAGTTAGCACTCCACAAATTCCAAAGATGGAATTGTGTCCAATGGCACAAATCTTTGAAAATAAAAAACATCTTTATGTTAGCAATTCCTGGGATATTCAGACTGTCCCAGATCCAGTTGTTTCCCAGGGCATGTGACATCCTGAGGGGACGGGGCACTGTGGAAGAAGAGCCAGGTCAATGAGGACACCTGGCTCTGCACCAGTGTTCTGCCTGTCCTGCACCTTGTTCAGACCAGGGCCACTGAGCCTACAGCATGGTTATCAGATGGAAAATCAGGCACAACCAGGAAAGAGGACCCATGAGAAAGAATCAGATCTGTTGTGTTCATGATTCCCAGAAGCAGAGAGGCACAGTAGGCCATTGTGCAGGGCTGAGGAGGGGGAGGATTGTACTGAAGGTAAAACAAGTGAAGTTGTTAACAGAGGGTTTGCAAGTGGAACCTAGGAGAGTTAGTGAGTTTTTGCTGGATTCCAGATGATTGGGAATCTTGACTGATTCTGTAGGTGATTAAAATAAGTGCAAAGAGGCCCAGGAATGTAAGACCCTGTTATCCCTCTCATGGTAGCATACCTTGACTTTTGAAACATCCTAAATCTAGTATTGACTAATTCTATAGTGGAAAACAGAGCCTGGTTGTCCTGTATGGGCCTTTGGGCACCTCGTGCCATTTGGAGAAAGGGCCATAGAACTTTGTTGAGTTTGTTTCCCATTTTCCTAGACTCTCCCATGGATTCTGCACTAAAGGAACTTGAATGTTCAAAAGCTTGCCCCAGAAGCCACAGCAGGTCTCTCTGTCCTCTCCATCCCCTCAGCCCAGACTTTCTGGGACATGTCCATGGCTGAAGAAATTTCAAGGTTTCAAAGGAACAATACCAAGGTCATCCTCCTTGTATATATCCCCTAAGCAGTTATGGGTTTAGGATGCACAAGTGTTGCCTCATTAATAACAAAGGAAACTTGTATTTCCAAGTAAGATGCCACAACTAATTCAAACTCACTGCAGTGGTGTCAGAACTCATAGGTGACCCTCCAGCAGATTTTCAGAGGCTATAAACCACACCGGAGGAGATCGTTCATCTTTTCCTTCAGAGCAGCTGGTGAATTCTAACCACCAGAGAGCTGTGGTCTTTTGGCTAGCACAACTCTCTGGGGACTATATGCCACCAAAGTTACACAGTGATTAGGATTGCAAAATAATTTATGGGGTGGGAGCAAAATTCACCATTTGGACTAGCATGTTCCATGATGACCTGAAAGACACATCTAGCCACCAACCTGTGTCACACTCAAGATAAAAGATGCAGGAGATTGGCCTCATTGAGGGCAGGACTACAGATGCTCCAGAAAAATTTCTCATCAGGAGTTACTGCTCATGTTCTGTAACTTGAAGAAGGATCATACATGGTGTGATTTAAAGGAGCAGCCAAAAGGAGGCCATAGATACTTTGGCTATGTTATCAGAAGGGAGCCAATCTTTAGAGAGCTCGAAAAGAGTGGTGCTTAGGAACTTGCCCTGCTAACTCAAAGGTCATGCCAATGGAGGGAGGGTCTGAAAAGAATATTATGCTTGGAAAAATGGAGAGTCTGTAAAAAAGAGGAAGATTTTCCATGAGGTGGGTTGATACAGTGACTGCAACAATACTCTTTAGCAGAGCAGGGACTGTGTAGGTGCTTCCATGTAGGGGAGAATTTGGTCCTATTGTATAAAGGGTTGTCTTGAGTCAGAGTCACCTAGACAAGAACTTATAACAATGACTAGTGCTGCATAGATATTTCTGATCTGGACAGGGGACCTCAAGATGGCAAGGATTTGTCTTGACTCTATTTGGATCCTGATAGATATCCTAAGAACATTCTCAGATTTCCTGAATGGGAAACCGTTAGCCCACTCAACTACCAATATGAAGGTGAGAGCCTAAGGGCACTTTGAAAGAAATCCCAGTTTTCTGAGTCCCAGAAATCAGTCATTGAAGATCCTATGACTCATGGTTTTACTCTGATATAAATGGGATCATGTTGTTGTTGTTGTTGTTATGTGTCATAGAGTCGCTTGTGACTCATAGCGACCCTATGTACAACAGCCCTAAACTCTGCTCTGTCCTGTGCCAATCACACTGTCTCTGACACTCCCATTCCAATTACCCCAGTCACTGAATCAGTCCACCTCATTGAGGTCCTTCTCCTCCTGCACTGTCCCTCCACCCTCCCAAGCATGATGTCTTTCTCCAAGGACTGGGCTCTCCTCATAACATGTCCAAAGTATGTTAGACGGAGCCTCAAAATTCTTGCCTCCAAAGATCCACCCGGTTTAACCCTTTCCAGGATGAATCTGTTTGTTTTCCTAGCAGCACCAGCACCACAGCTCAAAGGCATCAATTCTCCTTCTATCCTCCTTGGTCATTATCCAACTCTCTGATGCATAACAAGTGATTGCGAAGACCATGGCCTGTATCAGATGCACCTTAGTCTCCAGAGAGACACCATTGCCCTTC